GCGGCCTTTAAAATCGCGTCGTCGGTTCCCTGGCAATTACTTGAGGTTGCAGCCGGGTGCTCGTCCTTCGTAAGTCGTCCTGGTCGGCACACTACACGGGAACGATCGACGATACTAGATGGATTTGACAATGGTCGACACACCAGGCTAGATAAAAAACTAACGATACCGTCGTCAACCAACAATATCAACGTATGGAAGAGAAGGGCCGAAGAAGCCGAACCAAAACTGGACGGTCCATATAAGGCCGCCGAAGAGGGTGAAATTGTCAAGTGGTTTTTTGCAGCCGTTGCTGGGCCAAGCCGTATTTTCCGAAGTGACAGCCTGCACAAACTAAAGGAAATTCGGAACGACTAGATTCCTCAAATTTTTGTGGGTCGGCTGAATTCTCCAAATCCCTTTACCAATAAAAATATCAAATCCCGGAAATGCTGCATTCCAGCATAAAAATTTTCAAAGCGTAAAATATACATAAAAATTTTTCCAGAGCGAAAAAGAGCGGAAATTTTGGACTTGGACAAAATCTCCTCTACTTTGATTACGAAAACATAAAAATTACATCAAATTCGTCACCTCCACAGATACAAAATGCAAAAAAAAAAAATTTTTTTTCTCGCCTGAATAACTGGGGGGAGGAAAATTTTTCCTCTTTTCTCTCTACTTCTATTTTTCCTCCTTTCTCTGCTATTGATAAGTTTTCCGCTGTTTCTTCAAAAAATGTTCTAACATCTTAAATACCGGTCTGCTCTGAATGCTAGCAAAGGAAAATTTTCAGTTACGGATTCCACATAATTTCAAATTTTTCCACTCAACGGCGATAGGTCCCAATGTAGCAGCCAGAAAAGAATTTGGAAAATAAGTACAGTAGAAGATAAGCTCAGTACCATCCTTTACCTGTAATTTCAAACATCACAAAAACCTTACGAATCTCGACAATGAAACTTTATTTGTAGATGCAAGCACGCAAGTTAGGAATTACGAAAACTTGACTTGCCCCGCCCCCACTAAAAGTCACTCTAACTTCTCAGCTAACACTATTTCGTGGCATCGATTGACGGCACTGCCTGGCACCTTGCCAATGAGCGTCGGGTAGTACTACCCAGTGTCTTGGGTAGCGGTACCCGACGCTTGACGGCTGGTTGGCGTGGTTAGGGGGAGGTAGGAGGTGGCGGTTAAGGGGACTGAACGTGGTTGGGGGGTGTGGTAGTTTATGGATATCTAGGTGAAGCTCCATGGGCAGGAACTAGACACCAGGATAGAGAAGGGGAACAAGAATGCTAGTCAGGAGCTCGAGGCAAAAAATGATGGCAGTGGTTGGAGGGTAGTGGGTGATAGACGCCCAAACGCATCCTTGGAGGCAGGGACTGGAGATAGAACAGAGCAGGGGAACAAGGGTACTAATCAGGAGTTCTAGGCAAGAACTGAAGATAACAGTAAAAAAATAACACTGAATTAGAAAGCTAACGATGAATAGATGCAAAACTAAACATAAGGAAGTAGAAATTGTTCAGTGGAAACCCATGGTCAGTAGAGGCTTCTCCTATTCATAAATATATGGTTAGGTGAAGCTGAGAATGAAAAAGTTCGATTAGATTTATGCAAAAACTTTTTCCAGTGTATTGCTATCGGCAACAAGAAAGGGAAGGAGTTTCTTAATTTATTACGATCAGTTTTAAATTAATGGACCGAAACGTCTTATCTCGCTCTCACCTTCCTTAATCTACACTACTACTTTCTCCTAATTCCTTCACATCTTGCCATCTGCACTTCCTGGGTCAATCTGGATG